ATGAAAAGCAAATTTGACAGCAATGGGGCCTGAATAGCAAAATCAGACCTCCATGTACCAATGTTCTAACAAAAGTACCTCCAACAATATAAACCAAATAGCCCTGCCTAAACAGAAGCAAATACCAATCTTGTCACAACAATGCAAATAGAAAATCCAAGTATTGCCTTAAACAACTTAATGTCAAAACATCTAGATAGAGGCAAAACAAACATGTTGGACTTGAACTTGTTGAAACAACAAACTGCAGGCCTAAAAACTATTCTAGAAGGCAGTCACAACACCAAACAACAACATCTAGTGTGAGAGCCAGTTTCTAGCAGCAATAGTCATGAGTTGACACACTTAGACTCCAAAACAGTTTGACAGCAAAGGAAACCAACTCAACATACCAATGTCAACAATTTCACAAAGAAAATCTTCTAGCACTGATAGGAACAAACATAACACAGTTGTTCCAATAGCAAGCTTGACATATCAATATCAAATCCATACTTTTAGTGAAAGTTGACAAACTCCAAGATAGTTTTTGACAACACAACATAATTTAAACATAACAATGCGTAAACCATTTAACAAACAACATAAACATGATGCATAATAGTGAGGAGGTTTAAAGTTACATACATCTTGTAGACCTCACTATGCTAGCAGCCAAGAAAACCAGAGGTCCTTCCTTTTGAGCAAGCTTGTGATATTACTTCCTTTTGAAGAAAAACGCAATCTTGTGGACAGTTTGAGTAGATGATATTCCAGCTGTTATTTGAGACTATGAACAACTAATACATCATAAATATGAAATGTCTAAAGCGCCAAAATGATGGAAATTGATCTATGTAGTGATTTGGCATGAAATGTGCATAAAAGTCAAACTTAAGTGGTGTGAAAGTTGACTTTTTGATTCATGTATTTTTTGGAGAAAGTAATGATTAGAACAGCTTTAAATGAACATTTTAAGCTTGTGTATATGGTTTTTTAAGTGGTTTTGGATTAGGAACAAGAACTGGTGTGAAAAATGCAAAGTGGCGAAATTGGTGGTTTTGTGAGATTTCTTCACTTTCAAGTAAAGAGGGAAAGAAGGAGAGATATGTGTTTATGGTGTTTTGGATAGCTCTGGTGTGTTGTATATAATGGGATGAAGGCTATATTTATAGGATAGATAAGAGTTTGGGCAGATTTGGAATTGTGGTATTCAAAGATGGTTTTTGTGAAAAAATCTCATGAACCTAGGTGATGGTTTGGTTCTGCTGGCCTTGCTTGCTTTCAAAGAGATTAGCCCCCTAAAACCAGTTGCAATGAGATGTAATAAGTGACCAAAGAGTGTACAAGGACACCCTCCCATGCTGCAGCCCCCAAACACTCTCTCTCATGTGTACCTTTTGTACTTTTCTTTAATAAACAAATGGATCTTGGATGATTCTTTGGATTTGCTTGATTTCCTTTCTGAATTAGTTAATTTCACTCTCTAACACATCATATTAGAGGTCATTCCATGGTTATAGATGAAGTTCATAGTTGAAAATCAAGTTCATGTTGGGTTTTGGCAAGTTGACAAACTAGTGCACAAGCCTAACTTTCTCACTTCATAACTCTCAGTTCACAAGGGATATGGAAGATTTCTAGTACTCTTTGGAAAGCCCTCATGGAGCTCTACAACTTTCATGTTTACTGAAATTTCAGAATCCAACTGGAACTAGGTCAAAAAACCCTTCAAAGTTGGCTAAAAACATGATTTGCAAGGCCAAAAGACTAAGAAATTTTCTAAGTGTTTTCCCCTCTTGTGATGTTTTTGACCACAACTCCCAATTTACTCATTTTTTACACATGGACATCTGTGAGACTTTTGTAGGAATTGTCAAGATCTTTCCAACAAGCTTTGAACCACATCATTTGGATGTGTGGTTAGGAAGTTATGATCCTGCCCCTTTCAAAACCCTAATTCCCGATTTTTGCGATTACTCCCCAATCCTTGATCCAATGGTCATGAAACTTCATTTATAGGTTTAATATGACATTAGGAACATTTTTTATTCACACTTTAAGGTCAAATTCCTTATAGTTTGAGAGTTGACCTTTTGGTCAACGAAACGATCGATCGATGACGATCGGATCGACTTTTGTTGTTCTGGGTCTTCTGAGGCCTTGAAACTTCTTGAGTGTACTTGAATAAGTCATATGAGCTTCATGGACCGTAATTCAACCATTGGAACACATTTAAATCAAAAGTCAAACCACAGTTGACTTTTCCTGATCAGAAACCCTAATCGGGGATCCTGAACTACACTGTTTTTAATTTTTGGGTGACAATCTCAAATTGGACTCACGATTGACCCAATGGAGTATCTTTGATGAAGTTGAGACTTGTTTCATGGAGAAACAATCCAATACCTTGACTGATTAAATCGTTGAAACCTCGATTTCCGACTGTACGGAACCCTAATTCACCTGTATCTTAACAAAGACAAACTTGAAATAGGTTAAGGTTAGATAAACAATGATAAAGCTCCTAGAATGATGATGAAGATTTAAGGGGTCAAAATTTGGGGTGCAACAGTTGGAGATCTTCAACGGCTACAAACAGAACCGAATCTTCTAGTACATCTTCTTTTCCAATAAAGCAAGTGTTGGAACTTACAGTCAAAGAGTATCCATGAAACAAGGCCTTTTTCTAGAGGATACAACTCTAATTCAAGTACAACACAATCTGTATAATATAATGTCAATAAATATTGAGTCCCGTGTTAGCAGAACTGACATGACATTACTCAGCATCAGAAGCAACATATCACGCTTCTGAGCTAGAGTGTACTAGCAACTGCTTTTTTGATCATACGTCCTTGAGATAGCGTGACCAGAACTGAACCAAAGTTATTTCAGTGTCAGAACTAGTTCCATCAAGTAAATATAATTATACACACACAAACTGACTAATTAGAGATCCCAATTGTTTTATCAAATACTTTGTTATCATCAAAACCTTGGAGGGTTCATGGCATGAACCAAACTTGTCTCAATAGTATGGTTAGTCTTTCTCTTAACTTGCCTTTAAGTCCTTTCTAACAACCAACAACAAATCGAATATGGATTGCTTTTGTGAATAAGGCCATCACTTCTTTTATTCAACTTGAACTAAAACTTGCAAGAGAAATTTGTCAAAAACATAAAAACAAACTCAAGCCACAACAAGTATAAATGAAATTTCATGGCCTTACCCTAGGAATCATGGCCAAAGGCCAAATGATTTCCTAAAGGATGTCATCAAGCATCTGCGAGAAAGTTGATTGTCTATGGGTAGCTTGTTATGAAAGATTCTCCAGGCCAGGAGCAAGCTCGAATGAGGAATTCAATGGTGCTAAATGAACTTACTCCAGCTAACATTTTAAGAAAAAACAACATAGTGAAAATAGGCTCTCTTGAGAGTGATCTAACCATCAGGCTCAGGACACAAAACCATAAAGTCATTCTTGTTTCTAGAAATCACAACATGATAGCAAGGGAAACCAGGATGGGAAAAACCTCAATCAGATAACAAGGAAAAATATTTTATCATCATGTAGGATACCTTAAGTTGCAATGAACATGGGCATGGATATAAAGAAACACAAACAGAGTTTGTCAGACCAATTGTCGAGCCAAAGGTTGATTTTTTCACCTTTATCCATTAACTAGGGAGAGTTTTGCCTAAAGATATAATACATAGATTTCATATTTGTTCAAAGAGAGGATGAGATATGGTGCTTGATGTGACCACCTGTTTAGAAGGCTCTGAATCAGAGAATGAGGGCCCAATGATCCTGAGAGTTGGCTAACTCCTAACAGTTTAAGAGTTTAGCAGCTTCATTAAGATGAATTAAAGACCTAATGATAATGCCACCACTAACCATATTTTTACAACGATCTCTCCATGAAATTGTAACCATCTTCCGCTTAGAAATCTCACCACTCCAAATGAAATTACGACATCATTTCACAATGTCCTTAAGAATGGAGATGGGCTAGGAATACACAAGAAGAAAAGGGAGAAGCATGCTTTAAATGACATACTTAACAAGAATAACACGACTAACAATGGACACTCAATAAATATATCAAATTAATAAATAAGATAACAATAATTGTGAAATGTCAAATTAATTATGATTTAATTCTATTATATTAAATAAAATAAAAATAAATGTAAGTGATAATTTATGTTTATTTTTTAATAATTATTTCAAAATTTAAAATAATATTAATTGTACTTAAAATTATCCATAATTATTTATTAAATGTAAAAAAGATCAATTGAATTAATAAACTATTATAGGTATTATAAATAAAAAGAAATTATTATTCAAATTGTAAAAAAAATTATTAACTTAATGTGTGCAAAAATAAAAAATGACATTTAAAAAAAGAATTAAAATTTAATTGGTATGAACTTATCAACTAATTACTTTACATCACATTGTAAATTTTAAATTAATAGTATGACATGACAGATTAATATATTTTTATTAGATGACAGTATAAAATTATTTTATAGTGTAGAGACAACCCAATTAAATTCAAAGAATTATTTTAATAAAAAGAATCTTAAAAATATATCCTTGATTGCCCCAATCCCAATGGCAAAACCTCAAACAAGACAAATTTAAAAGGAATAGATATGTAATAACTTTATTAAATAGTTTTTTAACTATCACCTTTCAAATTCAAGTTCAATTCTCATGAGGACACACTATCCTAATGAGCAAGAGTACAAGAAGTTAGACACCACCTCAATAAATAAATCAAATTAATAAAGAGCATAAGATCATAATTTAAAAGGTCGAATTAATTTATAATTCTATTAAATTAAATCAAATAAATATAAATAATAAGCGGTTAATATACATATAAAAAAAAAGCATTATACACGCAGTAGTAGTAGTTAGTTTTTGAAAGCGAAAATGGTGCAGTGGACCAAAAGCGTTTGACTATTCAAAAACGCGAAACAAAACCCTTGATCGCATACAACAATGGCGGAACCTCCACAACAACCCCTTCTTCGTCTTGAAGGCACCGATTCCAGAAACAACCGAGTCATGTCTCAACTCACTCACTCTCTCCTTTCTCAACTCAATCCTTCTCTTCCTTCTTCCACCCTCGCACAACGCTCTTCTTACATTCAATCTCGCCTTCAACACCTTTTCCATAACTTTCACACCCCCACTCACCCTCCTTATGCTTTGGTCAGTAATCTACATTGCCAATTTGTTATTGAAATTGATAGATAATGAGTAATGATGATGTTGATTTGTGTTTTTGTTTTTGTGTTTAGATGATAAACAAGGCGATTGTGGAATTGAATGACGAAAGTGGATCCACCGTCAAGGCGATTTCGGAGTTTGTTCGAAGAGAATACGAGGATTTACCGTGGGCTCATTCGAGGATTTTGAGTCTTCATTTAGGGAGATTGTGTGAGGTTGGGGAGATTGTGTGCAATGAGAATGGGAGATACATGTTTCCCGTTGGTGGCTTGGAAAAGAAAGAGAAGGAGAATGAGAAAGAACGGTGTAAGGGTGGCAGGAAGAGGCGGAGGAGCCGTAAGAGTAATCGTGAAGGTATTGAGAGAGGGATTCAGTTGGCTTTGTTAGATAGTGACAGGACGGGTGAGGCTTCGACGCAGGTCGCTGAGAGTGATGATCATTTGATTGGAAGTGTTGAGGAAAAGGAAAAACTACAATCGAAAAAGGGGATTCAACTTCAGGTATTTTGATGTTTTGGCAATTTATGCATTTGATGTTGCTTAGGTCTAATTTTATCTGGTTCATTTGAGTATTTGGTAATTTCGAGCATAGAGACTCTAGGATTAGGCTAGAGTGTTTATTTGTCTCTATTTCCAACACTTCTAGGATATTCCGACTATATGTGGCCGGCAAGACAACTCAAGAAACAAACCTTAGACATTTCCACAGGGTTGAAAGTGTGTTGAAACAATGATGATGATCGGGGTTAAAGGCATTATATTTGATTACATCATTTTAGCTTTTGGTATTAGATGGATGAATGTATGTGAAAGATTTAGAGTTTTTTTAATGTACAGATTGATCAATTTTAGACGTTATAGCACTGCTATACTGCTATTGTGTATTGGATTAGGGGTAGCCAATGCAAAAATCGATACAATATGTCAACTTCGCTAGTCTGCAAATAGCAACACATTTTTATTTTTCGGTTATACCATGAAGCACCGAATAGCAGAATTAGTTGTGTTTTTAGCTGTGAACCAATTTTTAAATTCATTAGCAGTGTCGACACTGGCCTTTCTCCGTATGATTTTATGTGCTATTTTAACACTGCCCTGCACTCCATACCCCTTTTATCACTAGTTTGTAATCTGCTCTGTTTAGGCTGTTTGTTTAGGAAGAAGTAAAGAAATGGTTAGAATGAACATTTACTATTAAAATTCATTTGGTGCAGATGGTAAGTAGCATAGTTTGTGCAGAAGGGTCACCAGAGGGCGTAACATCTACCGGTTCAGGAATAGAATTATCATCGCAAACACAGTTGCAACCTCAAAAATCCGATGACATTGATGCAGATGTAACAACTGCACTAGTTTCTGCGAATGTAGATGATGATGAGCTTCCTCGGGATTACAGTCAAGGGAATATTGATGGAAGCCTTGATGAGAACCCGGTTATCGAGTGTCTTGATCAGATACAGCCAATGCGAAAGCGTTCCAGAGGCAGGCCTCGTAAATCAGAAACTGATGATGCAAACTGGCAAGAGAAGCCGTTGCTGCTTACACAGGGACCAACCAAAAACAAGAGGAATCAGAATGGTCAAACTAGAGGTCCAGGGAGGCCTAGTAAGTTAAAGAAAAAAGAAGAGAGGCTAAGGAAGAAAGAAGAGATGTTGAGGGAAAAAGAAGAGAAGTTAATGAAAAAAGATCAAGCTACGCTGCATGACTGTGAAGGGAAATTAAAGAAAAAAGATCAAGCTAAGTTGCCTGAACGTGAAGAGAAATTAAAGAATGAAAATCAAGCTGGTCATGGACGTGGTCGTGTTCGAGGTGAAGGGAGGCCTCCTAAGCCCAAGGTATGTGATACTGAGGCACCAATTGCTGAAGCCACAACCATGTGAAGTTCAGGGTAAAAGGTGGATACATGCCTCTTAAACATAATCAGATTTAAGTTGCTACTTCATGATGCTAGTTTTGTTACTTCGATAGCATGGTGTTTGTTTTTTGGATTATTGAGGAATGCTAAGAGTCACTTTAATACTCTTTCTAACAAGTTTTTATGATTGAGTGCTCGCTTGGAAACACGTTTATCCCACGCATTTAGCAAAGTTCACCGTGATTTGCTGAAAAAATAGTGTTCGGTTTTCTTGCTGATAAATCAATTCAAGTCTCAAAAGCAAGTTGAACTTGAAGCTAATATTCTGCATTAACCAAAATCTTTGTACTCTTTTATTAAACAATTATTTTATTTTATATTATCGTTTGTTTATTATATCTTGTGAATATATCAAGCATGCCTAGATTATTTTCTTATAGAATTAAGCTAGTAGATTGGATCTGTTCAAATATAAAAATGATATCAGTCGATGTAATTGTGTGATAAAATAACAATGAATATAACAACATAACATAAAAATATGTTACCATATTATCTTTGAAGTGTACTATATTCATATAACATTAGTAACATTAACTCAACTCCTCATGACATCATTTCCATATTTATTTTTACACAGGGTTTATGATTTATCTCATTTCATTTGGGTTCATATATTCATTGATTATCTTGTACACTTATTCATCTCTATTAAGCATGACAATCGAGCATTATTTATAAAAGGGGTAATATTTCACACGAAAAATTAATTTTTGCTTCAGTAAACTATCAAGGTGGATAGGATATAGTAAAAGGGGTAATACTTCACACCAAATGTCAATTTTTGCTACAGTAGACTATCAAGATGGATAGGATATATTTGTAATTAATTTTTGCTTCAGTAAACTATCAAGTGGATAGGATATAGTAAAAGGTGTAATACTTCACACGAAATGTCAATTTTTGCTTCAATAGACTATCAAGATGGATAGGATATATTTGTGAGTGATCTTTCACAGCCTACATGACAAATAATTAATTGTTAATCCTTCTAACATCAATGTCTTCGACAATATTAACTTGCAAAAAGAAAGATGTTGAAAAATATGGTGCACTAATAAGTTATGAAGGTATGCATATGATAGTTCCTTTGTTTCTTCTTTGTCTTGCAAAAAGAAAGATGTTGTAAAATATGGTGCACTAATAAGTTATGAAGGTATGCATATGACAGTTCCTTTGTTTCTTCTTTGTCAGAAACTCGGGCAGTGGAAAGCCCTTCCTTTGTTGTCTTTTCCTGGCTAACCTCAAGGGACTTGGTCTTTTCTTTCTTTTTTGTTGATTCAGGTTCTAAAGCTTCGACTGAACCTTTCCTCCCTTCAAAGTTCCCGAAGTGTGCACCTCCAAATTGTTTGTGGAGGTTACCTAAAATATTGACAAATATTAGCATAATTAGAAGGAGACATGAGAAATGAAAATGGTTAAGAGTCTTCTAACCTTTGTGTCTCCTTCGACAAGCACGTCTTCATATTGTTTAATTTTCTTGTTTGAGACAACGATAAATGAACCACCTCCTATTTTTCGACTCTGCAATAAAATGGGAATTAAAATGTCATCCATGAAGAATGCAAAAAAAGGGATTAAGAGAGAAAACATGTTTCTCCTCAGTTGGTTGATTAGGCTCTTCGCTAGCATCAACAATGCCTTTTTTTGACTTTTCTTAAATCAACAACTGCAAGAATTCTACACAGCCACATTAAAAAGACAGAATGAGACTAAGAAAGTTAATCTAAAAGGTGTTGTTCCTCACCCGCAGATGCGGGGGGATAAGATCTTAACATGTCTAATGTTGACATGGAAGTGACCTCTATAACGGTGTATATTGTGCTTAGTCGAAACTACTCTTTGGACAAAAAAAAACAATTACATTCATTTTTCAAAACTTTTAAAGAAGACCCACAAGTAAACCACCATGGGGTTGGAGTTAGAAAAGCCAAAGCAAGCTCACAAGTGGGCAAAGGGGAAAATTTGAGTGGATGAAATGCTAAAACAAAAGCATACCTATCTTTAACATAAGAAGGAATTTTAGGTATCTTTTAACTTTAGATTTTGCATCTCTTAACTTGGCCTTAATGAGTTTGATATATCCTATACCTATCTTTAACATAAGAAGGAATTTTCGATTTAGGTATCTTTTAACTTTAGATTTTGCATCTCTTAACTTTTAGTGAGTTTGATAAATCCTACAACTTGGAAAATAGAGTAACGGCGCTAGATAGCTAATTCATTGCGAATTTCGGGGATTAAATCTAATATGAAACAATTAAGTATTTCATTTGGTGGTAAGTAGTACTTAATTTCTCAAATTTTCAAATTTGGCTTTGTATTCTGAAATAGAAACATATTATCTTAGTTTAAATAGTTGAGCTTGGTTATTTTTATAGGTTGAGGGGATAAAATGTAGTTCAAGAGATCTTAAACATGTTTGTCAATCAATTAACTGATTGTTTTGAAACATCCACTTATCCCATCCTAAGACTTTCCCTTTCATATAAAAGGCAGTCATGGGGAGTCTAATTTCAAAAGGGATATTATAAAAATCAAAAAATTGCTCAACTTGAAATAGTCACTAAGGCATCAGCCCCATAACAAATTCCAGTTCAATTTTAGGAATTCTAAAAAATGGTTAAGGCATATTGATATTCAAAAAAAAAAAATAGGGGAATAAGAGATTTTTTTAAATATAATGTGGTTGAAATGGGGGAGATTGGGACTGCTGTAAAGGTTCTGATTGGAAAAAAAGACGGTGGTGTAAATGGGAGAGGGAAATGTGTAGGGGTATATACAAAAGATGTGTCGAAACTCTATCATGTGAGGTGGAAACTGTCATAGCAACAAACTATTGAGTCGTGTGAGAGATGTGTGCAACAAAGTTAGATTTCATGCAATCGACGATACTGCTATCCAACTAACCTAGTTGCATTGAAAGATTTTAATTGTTGTTCTCTAACTGACCCAACTGCATAGAGATTAAGTGAGTGTTAGCTTTCATAGTTGTTTCAAAGGTGTGGTTATGAGTGATAAACTCATCAAGACATTGATTTGTGACTTAAAGAGATTCATTAAAGTCTTTTGGGATATAATTAGTGATTTTGCAAGACATTGAGAAAGATGAAAGCACCAATGATATATGGACTCCACTACTACTAATGAAATTAGGGTTTAACCAAAAAGACAATAAAAGAAAATAGAAGAAATGTTTAATATCTACATATCATTTCAAGGTGCAACGCAAACTTAAAACAAAATATTCTTATAACACTGGGTTAAACCCACTTGAAGGAATTAAACAAAAAAACAAGAAAACATAGGAATTTTAATCTAAAATCAACCTAGTGCATAATATAAGAGGGTTACTTTATCCACCCTATGGAGTGAGAGTGAACATTATGAAAATTCAATTTTGTTCTTTCTATATTCTAAAAATGCATCTCTAAGCATTTTTAATTTACACAAAAAAACATTGGAAGTAAGACACTCCTATTTAAACAAAAATAATAATATAGAAATGTATCTCCAAAATATTCTAGAAATGCACATCAGTAACTTTCTCAAACATTTCCACCCACCAAAGTGAAATTTAATAGATGATCCTAAAATCTAACTGAAAATCAAAGCCATTATATTAGAATAAAACGAAAGCATAATGAAATTAACAAACAAGATAGTACAAAGCCAATAAACAAGTTGTTTCTACGAAAAAAAATGCTGTAAATTTAGTTTCTTTAGAGACTCTGACACATTACAATATATTTGTTGATTCACAACTTTAACAGAGTACTGTTGAAATTAAACTCAGTTTAGGCTAGTTGGCCAAACTTGGGGTGGGTTTTATGTCTCGGAATTCAAAGCTGCAAGTGTTTATTTGTAACTTAGAAGTTGTGATGAGACCTTCAAATAAAAGTTCTGGGAGAATTATGGGAGTGCATCTCTAAAACATTAAAATGTTAAAATGTGGGTATATTAGGTGTGAAAACACAAAATCTACAAGTAGAGCACATACAAGCATAACCAATTAATTTAACACATACTGTTACACAAAGACATGCAAACAAAAGTTTATATGTATGAGAAGAAAATGAAGTAATAAATTGAGGGTAATGAAGTTTATGATTATGAGATGTCATGGCGTTTGGAGGCGGAAATGTGATTAAAAGCACAAAATCCGTACTATGATGCCATATATTTGATGTAAAGGGCATGAAAGGCAGGGCACCCCGTAGAAAACCTACGGGTATTTCAGAGCCACAGTTTATTACTGCTCTCCCCTATATGCTTCAGCCCTAAACTGAATCACTCGCAAATCTCAAAGATTGAAATAATGAAAGGTTGAACAATAAAAATTATGCAAATTGCAAAACCCTAAGAACCTTTGCGGCTCTGCTAGTTTACAACAGCAACACATAAGTGGTAGCGGAAGAAAGCTTCCTTTTATACGGTCAAAATGGAGAAAGGAATATGGACCAAAGTAAAGGCCCGAATCCACGTACATATATTGAATTAAGAGAAAGATGAGATATTTTCCCCCTAATATACACCCCCAACTATTCTCATCATTAGATATCAATAATACAAATTACACTTTCTTTTTTTAAATTTTAAACTATTATTTCATTTGCTGAAAAACGAAAATTTTAAGTCTGATTAAGTGGCAAATTCCTATGATAATCCTAAAATCTCAATAGTAATTATGTTTTTCAATTAAATTGGTTTTCAATGTTTCAAATATAGACGTCTCTTATGAATTTCAAAATGAAGTGAACGTGGTTGCAATTAAAGTTGACATCGTATTTCAAGTTATCGACTATAATTCACGAGCAAGAGAAAATTTAAGTATGAAAGTTTGGATTTACTATTGATATTTTAAGATAGGTGGAAAAATGCTAGTCTATTTCTTCTGTTGAAATGTGAGAGAAAGGGTACATATAAACAATACAAGATGAACTTGACACATAAAGATGCATAATT